TCTGTCACATGATAAACGAAAGTTCAGCAAGAATTCATGGGTGCCTCAGAATGGGGAGCCGAAGCCCTCTCTACAACATCCTTCAATTTTCAGTGAGGCCAAGTTATGATTTCCTTCCCCATGCCTTTTTAAACGTAATGAAACAATGCGATGTATCTACCCTATTATGTTATGAGGATGAAAGTAGTTGCATTTTTCCAAAATAATATGTGTAGAGACCATGTTTTCATTAAATTTCACATAGCCTTGCTTTCCAAAAAGGTATCCACGTCCAGGCTGATAAGTAAAGCATTTCGACCTCGTCTAGTTCTCATTAGCTTACCCAGAGGTCTCGAACCCAGCTTATGATAGAGCGGCGTATAAGTTCCAAACGTTGGCCGCTAAGCCACATTGCCACAATTGCATTTGGATAATATGTCAATTTCAAAGTGGGCCAGGCATATTCCTAGCTGGAGGAGGCAGTCCCAGGTTTGCTTGAAAATTGATAAACTCGAAAGCGCAGCTGGAAAAATTTAATTACCAATCCTTTATCATCTTAATGAAATAAAGTGAATATATTTCATATATATGATCTATTGGTAGTCTCGAAAACCTTCTTATAAACGGAAAATAAGTAGTGTAGTCGATTGATATGGCAAATACAACTCATCTTCATCGACAATTCCAACAAATAATGTGATATTTGTAATTCACTTCTGCCCTGTGTCCCAATGGCCCTCTTGGCACTCTAGCGTAGTGGCTAATGTGTCGAGATTATGCGCTGCACTACCATAAGAAATATTCGAGCCCCACTGAGGCTGCTGATATGACCATTTCAGAAGAGGTCGAATCTTCCGTCCGCTTTAGCCTGAATGAGAATAACTTGAAATGTGAGATTAGATGGAAGCATGCGGCCTTCTCACATCATTTTAAGTAAATTCAGCTATTAATAATTAATCACCTTAAACGAAATAGCATGAATACATCTCATATCTATGATCTACTGGTAGTCTCGAAAACCTAATTTTAAACGAAAAATAAGAAGACAACGGCGGATTCCTCTTGACCAGCTGTCGATTAGCTTTACTGGAACATTCATGATGATGCTGTTTCCGAGATGATCTCCTCTGATTCCAAAGAAAAGTTGCTAAGCTTTGCTTCGTTCTAGTAAAGCCAATCGACAGCTGGCCAAGAAGAATGCGACGTCGTCTTATGGTGGAATCGACCTTCGAATCTCTTCACCAAACACTTTCACTCGAAATGGAAGTAAGCTCAACAATTATGGAACAAGAGATTCCTCGAAACCCAAATTTTCTTCGAAAAATAAGAAGTGGGCTGTACTGAGTCCACGGTCTGATGCCTGAAATTATGATAACTACTATGACAGAGGACTTCGGACAGGGGGCGTTCAACTAAGTCACCCCGACAACAAGACTAAGATGCCCAAATGAGGTCAACCCACTTCTATACGTCGAAAGTAGACTTAGACTATACCCATGGCCACACAATCTTGGTCTTCATATCTTCGAAAAATAATAAATTCTACTAGATTATGGAATTCTCTAAAACCAGCCTTCTCATCCTATCTAGGTCCCTTAACTCGCCTGTCTGTACACGCCACAAGTACCTGTGCGCATTTTGAATTTTTGTTTGTTTGTAAAGGGGGGCATTGAGCAAAAGCATATTATTAAACCGAATGGATGAAGGCCAATTTAGTGTGGTTGCAGTATCTCTTTATTGCATATAAATCGTTTGCCCTGTTTTTACCACTTGGTCGTATTGCCAGAGACCTAGATGAACACACCTTGTGCAGATTTCCCTACTTGATTGTCTATGCGAACTACCAGCGTTGGACCTTTAATGGAGCATATTCCCAGACGTGTCCTTGGCATCATTAGTGAGTCTTGCCACTATTAGCCTCCAATTGCAACTCGTCAATGGTTGGGAATGTGCCAAGTTCACGATCAGAAACTGAGAGCTCTCATGTCTAATATGGCTGATCCAGGTCTCTTCGGAGGTACGACTAATCTGCAAAGACGAGGTCAGACCACTTCCATATTATAAAGTGTTCTTCGCTGGAGCAGTTGAACTTGTATTAGTGTCCATTCGCAATTCGTTATTACAATTCCCTTGTTCAGGGTTGTCCATTCCACTCACAATACTTCTATGTTGGATTCTTTTATCCGGTCGCCTCGCATCATCTGGTCTCAGTTGGCCGATAGCGAATTTGACATGATAAATTGCAAAGAGGGCTGTCACCATAGCCACCAGTTCCGACCCTACCAGCAGTACCCCTGCCGGATTCCAACCGTGGAGGTGGGATTTCAAGGTCCGATATTATCAGTGAAATTATGCCACCTGAGTTTATTGATGATTTTGGGGATTTAGCTGAGTGGCTCTCTTGTCATGAGTCTTCGTTTCATTGTATGGTTTAAAGTAAGCGACTTTTCTGGATTTTTGGTGTCAGGAATGACCGAATAAGGCAGTAGAGGCGTGGATAGTTGGAGCCTGAGTAGAGATTGAAAAGCCAACAGACAGACGAACACCGACCAAAGAACATACAGGCAGCTACAGGCAAACAAAGAGACTGTACACATTTTCTGCTACTCCGTCAGGCGATAGTGCTTTCGCGTCACGTTGCCCAAATGATATTTAATAACCTCAAAGTTATTTGGCCGAGGCAGAAGAGCCGAAGGAAGTGGGCTTGGCGAGCAATGCCTGAATTGGAGAAATGAGGGCTTGTCTCCGGAAGGAATTGGAAGCAACATGCAAATGCACTTGCCTCTCGTGTTAGTTCTTATGCTTCCTCTCTTTATCGTCAAGTCATAGAGCCGAAACAAGTGTTTTTTGAGGGAGGCAGTATTTGGCATATGCCGGGGTGAACGTGACGTGCACAATCAGGTTTCAGTTGCGTCCGGGCCTGGTTTGATTGATGTGCTGTACATGATGTGTGTCTTGCCCAGTTGGTACAGGATAGGGACTACAACCACAATAAGTATATTCCGACAGAATTCAGCAAGTTTGTCAGTTGGTAGCGCAGGCGGGGAACAGGTCGAAGTTGTGCTGCAGGCGCCAATTTTTAGTCTCAGGGCAGAGGCTACTGCTCTCCTGTGGCTCTGCAAAAATGCTCTCTCTTTTTCTCCCTCTTTCATACACACGTACACACACTTCAAGGGGGGAGAAGGCACTAGATGGTGATGCAAGAAGAAAGATAAGGTCATGGCATAATGAGATCTCAAAGGCACACATTTCTCGACCAATTCAATCCAATGGCTTGAGTGCAAGTAACAAGTGCCTTATTTGCCTTGCTGGTATGCAGCCCCTGTATCACTTCACATATACATGTGTGTGCGTGTGTGTGTTTGTTCGTTTGTGCACATGAGCATTCTTGTGGTTGTAAGTTGAGTCGCTGAGTGGAAGCTTGTCAATCACATAGCGGTTAATGGATTCTTCCTGATGTCAACTTGTACGAGCCCTTTGCCCTGAACTTGCCTGATTGAATTGGCCATTGACACGTCCGTCCTGCAAAAGTGACTGCAAGCCTCAGGGTTTTGGGCCCCAGTGCTTGGCTAAACGGATAGACCTGGCCTCAATGTTTGACCTAGTTAATGAAGCCTTTAAGGAGTTGGCAGTAAAACGATCTTGCCTAGAAAAGTCTACTTCTGGCGTGAGGTCTGCCTGTCCTCACCATAGCAACATACCATCTCGCAAATACGCCTTCCTGTAGATACCCGAAGCAGCCTGTCCAAATCGCCCATAGTCGCCATTCGTTGCCCACGCAAAGTTTCTGCCCAAACTCTCGATTCGGCAGAACACAGGACATAAGAGGTGGAAATGATATTCGATGAATTTCTCGTACATTAAAGTACATAGCTTATTCATGATCTGCATGCAGATTCGTAACATACTCAATATGAATAAAAGTAGTCTGGTTGACATAAAAAGCGGCAACAAAATCTTTCAGTGTCTATCTATACGTTTATTGAATTATCTTTTAGCCGAGCGCATCTCATTAGGCGTCTCCTCCATCGGTAGTCATAGTCATTTCCAGCACGGGACCATGGATTTGGTATACTTCCAGACGTTTCGCCAGAATCGTCAGTGATTATTGTCATTCTTAGCACCAAGCTAGGACTCGCAAATGAGACAAGTCCCTTGACCAAATTTCCGCCGAACGATTGTGGTCACCGGGACACATATAGATACCTTCTCTTTGATACGAACAGTAACCTGTTTCCGATGAATCTCCTGAGATAATATTGTTAAGGGGAAGTTAATTTCGTATAAAAGTGTATGAAGAAGATATTCGGCTAAATCTTGTTGTACTGCAGCCGTTTGCCTTTGATAGGACGTTCAGGTTGACGCAGTCTACGATACCTCCTTCCTCGTTTAGGGTAAAAACGGGTTGAGCTTTCCTCCATCAATAAGGCGGGAACTAGTTCCTGTAAAAGTTCCACGCTAACATTAGGTAAAGAAGACTATCCGGCTCTATCTTACCCCTCATATAGACTCAAACCTAAAACGAAAATGAATAGGAGATTCAACGAAACCCAGTTACTCTTCATATAAACTTTAACATTCATATGTTGTGTGTCTGAGCCTTTCTGCTCTGATTAGTCCCAGTCAAGGTGGCATCTCAACTCACTAAAGACAAGAATATTTGGGTAATACTGTAATACATAAATTAGGAATCTTTGTTGTTTTGATGAAATCTGTATTGTTCGTATCGTGTCGAATTCACCGGCTCACTGTGCCGACTCTACACCAACTCTCCTCACACAATCTCAACTTCTTCTTCTCACACCGACTCTATTCAACTACTCTCGGCTCCCAATCTTTCTTGAAGTAAACCCGGAGAAATCCTACATCTGCCTCTCCAAGATCCAAGGGATCCCGATGAATCATCTCTCCCTACAAAGAATTCCTATTTTTCATTGGGTCCTGTCACCAGCCCACCCCAACCCCTCCCTCCATGCTCTTTCATCTGACAAGATCCCGAGATACAGTCAATTAACACCAACCAACATGTAATAGACACCTCTGACTTGTGCAACCATCCACTGTGATCTGCCCGGTTTTCGTAAATTCGGTCACATTTGATGATCTTCTGTCTATCTATCATGTCTTCGTCCACAACAGGCTTCATAGAACCAGTTACTTAAGCCAACCTAGATCGCTTAAGGTGGCGAGGGAGTGATAGTGAATTTGCCAACAATGAAATGTGTAGTCATCAGAATGCAAAGGAATTTTACTTAACCATTTTCCGTAAGATATTCTCATCCAGGTTGGAATAAAACCGGGGCTAATCAATGGGAATTGAACCCGGCTGGTACAGCACATGTTTTTAAGCTGGTACTTGCACGAGTGTCAGTCAGTTGCATGGTAGAAGCGAATTTCAATGCAACCCAGGTCTCTTCCATATCATATTATTATAGTGGGATTTCCGCAAATAAACATTTGTTTATGAGACGTATTCAACCTTTTTACTGAAATTCACAAAGCCTTGCTTGCAAAAAAAGTATGATCATCCAGAGTAGACTGACTTCACGTTGCTATGAGTTCTCTTGGGTCACAGGTCAGATGTGAATTTCAAGGAAAGCCAGGAATTTTTCCATATATTCTCTGGTGGGGTTGTCGATGAAGCAAATTACATCTGCTATAGCAATAGAATGTATTAATTATTTTTCGTTTATAAGCTGGATTTCGAGATTATCCGTAGATCATATATATGTAATGTAGTCTCATAGAGTTAAATATTTACTGGTAGTCTCTAAAGCCAACTTATAAACGAAAAATAAGTAGTTTAGTCGATTGCTATGGCAAATGTAGCTTTGCTTCATCGACAATCCCACCACAGAATGCGATATGGAAAAATGCCTGACCTTCCTTAAAATGTACATCTTCCCTGTGATACAAGAGAACTCATGCCAACGTAACGTAGTTGGTAGCGTGTAGAGAATATACGCTGCATTATCATGGTTCGAGTCCCGCTGAGGGTGCCGAGGTCGAAACCACAGTCCACCATGGATGAGAAGATATTTTGGGAAGCAAGTATATGGGAACTTCATTGGCAACGTGGGCTGTACTCATAACATTCTAAAAGAATTGAACTTCCAGTCCCCCTATCAGCTTAAGCGATATAGAGTGAATACGTTTCATATATATGATCTACTAACAGTTTCGAAAACCTGTTTATAAACGAAAAACATGTGTTTGTCATTCCATTCGACAACGCTACTTGTATACGAATTAAGTAGAATTTCCAGACTATCTGTAGATCTTGAATTCACCCCAGGTTGCATGATGTATTGAAGAAATTATAATTAAATTTTCCCACACTGAACCGAGTGGGCCTTGCATTTTCATCGAATATTAAGATGTCCTGCTTTCGAAAAGTTATTCCCATCCCAGCAGTTTAGACACGATTTCTACCTGGACTAGGTCCCATCAGCAGTCCAGGCATGAATCAGGATTAGAATACTTTTTGCGAAGCAAGGCTAAATGAAATAAAATGCAAGCGTATCGCCTATCCATATCATTATGGGAAAATTCAACTATCAGTCCTTTATCACCCTAAACCAGCTAGGTTGACTAAACGCTGATTCAAGATCTTGCGATAGTCCTAAAACCGATTACAAATTGTGCCGC